GACGATTCCAGCCAGCGTGGCCCGCGTCGCTGGTCGCCGCGGACGCCTGCAAGCCCTCAGCACAACGCCGCCCCGCCCCCACGAAACGGCCAGGGCCATGCCGGTTTTGTCTTGCGGGAGACCGCACGTGCCCTAAAACGTAGAACTCTAATTTTGCAGTAAGCCCCTTCCTCTAATTGGGCACAAGCACCCCACACCTGGACCCGAGATTTATTCTGCACACTGGCAGAGGTGGGGGCGTGGGGGCAACTTGCAGATGTGGAGATGGGCCGTAAACGGAAGGCTTCTTAGGTGGAAGTCAGGGCATCGGCAGTCTAAAGGACTTTGATCCTTCAGTCCCCAGGGAGCCCATCCCAGGAGGCTGGACTCCTCCCGGTGGTGCCTCTGCTGACTAGGATTAGCAATTACTTGTCTCTCTGGCCTTCCTAGCACCCCAGACTGCTTACTTACTCAGGGCCAGCCAAGCTCCCAGCCAGGCTCCTCTGGGGCCAGCTAGGCATCATCTCTCTTTTTCATTTTAGGTCATTTCTGATTTTGACATGACCCTGAGCAGGTTTGCATATAATGGGAAGCGTTGCCCATCCTCTCACAGTAAGTCACATGCTGTTTGCAAGTCGTGACCAGAGGATGGTGCCTAAGGGCCAAGTTAAGGGAGTTTTGTGTTTCCGCAGCTATTCTGGATAACAGCAACATCATCAGTGAGGAGTGCCGGAAGGAGGTGGGTGACTTCCCTGCCATGCTCAGGACTGGCTGAGATACTGCTTCAGCTGGTTCTGGGTTAGGACCAAAGTTTCCAGGATCAAGATCTAGATTAATTGATCAAACAGAAAAGCCCTTGGGTGACTCTGGCCTTACCAGACTGGGACAGCTTTTCCTTATTGGCCAAGACCCACGATAACGGATCGTTGGGACAGGGATGTGAGGCTAGCGATGGCTTTCCCAAGAGACATCAACATTTGTCATTTGATTCCCTTCAATTCCAAGAGGCAGGTAGAACCATGATTGCCTCTATTTAACAGATGAAAAACTGGAGACTCAGAAGTTGAGTGACTTACGCACGATCATACAGCAAGACGCAGAGCGTGGTTTTCCCATAGATCTGATTTGATCTCAAACTCTTTTCGCTACATCATGCTCTATTCTTGATAATATGAAATTCTTGTCAAGGCAACAGGTATCCAGATTAATGCCTGTTACAGTAACTCCTGTTCCTTTGAGATCCATGCCAGTACTGTAGGGGGCATTTGACTTTGCTCCCCATTCTCCCTGGTGCCCTCTTTGCCAGAGCTGAAGCTGGGCTCTCCTGCTGCATGGCCGTGTCTTTAGGTCTGCTTTGCTAGCAGAGTCACTGGGGTCTGCTGGGTTCTCATAGGGACCAGCTTTTCCAAGACACTGCCCTGGGTACTTGTTACTAAGATGGGCAGCGAGTAGTCAGAGAGCCCTAGGGTGCAGCCTGTCTCGGGCAGATGCCACCTTCCGCTGAAGGTAAGTCTGGCTCTACCACTGCCTGCCTTTGGCAAGGTGCTCTTTTTGGTTCCTCACATCCCTGATCTTGTCACCTTCCAGGAAGCTGTGTCCCTGAGTAACAGAGTGATGCCTTTCTACGACAAGTACAGAAAGCTAAGAGTCTCAATGTTGATGTGTTCTTTAAAAAATTAAGCAAAGCAGGCCCGCCCTGGTGGCACAGCAGGTTGGAGCACTGTACTGCAAAGCTAAGCCAAGCCGGGGCAGCTTCAGTGCGAGTTCGATTCCCCACCCCAGAGGTGACCCACATGGCACAGCAGACCTCTCCTGTCTCCCTCTGCTCCCCTCAGCAGTGTATTTCATCAGTCTGCCTGTTCTGGTCCCTACTCTGTCTCTGGTGAATCCTCTCACTGCTCCCCAGTACACCTCTGGCCTGTACTCCAGCTCTTATAAGCATAAATATATAAATTTTTTTTAGAGGTCCCCCAAATACCAGATGGTTTCACTCATAGCAGGAGTATAAAGGACCAGGCGAGAAAATAATAATAATAATGAACAGCTACATACCAGAGGCATTTTACGGGGTGGAGTGGGGAATGGGATCAAAAACGGTGGGGAGGGAAGTGTACGGGACTGTGGTGATGGCACATGGGTGATTTGGGGATGGGAAGCCCACGGGGATTAGAACTGAGATGGAAAAAGGCACAAAATGATGTAAAAATAAACTATTAAAAAAAAGTCTAAAGGCAGTTAACTTGTAAAAAAAGAAACCATCTTTATGAAACTTGAGTTTCATAGCTTTTTCTAGCTCACAGGAAGCATTCATCCTTGCAACCCTAAAGTCATCTTGCCCACCACCTGACAGTGGACACCACATTTTTTTTAGGGGTTGAATAATCTTTTTATTATGTTATAAAAGACCATGTACCTCCCTCTATCACTGAATTTATCAAACTGTACTGTTACTCTGTTTATGTTACTATGTGGACACCACGTTTTGAGGACCATGCATTGAAACAGTTACTGCTCACGTCCTGATGAGGAGCAACAGAACCCTGTAGGCCTATTTATTACCTGATAGCAAGGATGTATCGGCTTTTAGCCCTCGCTCTGTTGGGGGAGCGCAAAGGAGTGTTCCAGTCACCCCCCTACCTGGCATTGTGTCTTCTAGGTGATACTTTCCTCACACTAAACTCGAAACTTGATGTGAACTAAGTGGTTTTCTTGTTTCCGTACCCCAGCTGACGGCGCTGCTTCACCACTACTACCCAATTGAGATCGACCCGCACAGGACCATCCAGGAGAAGCTGCCCCACATGGTGGAATGGTGAGGGGCAGCTGGTGAGGGCTCTGGCCTTGCATGGACCTGCGTCAAGGGCAGCGACTGCACTTTCCCTGAGCCTCTTGAGAGAGCAGCCCCTTAACCCATGCCGCCAGCCCCGCAAACCTGCAAGCACACCTGGGGCTGCCCTGGAACAGGGCCCACAGGGACCCTTGGAATGAGCTAGAAGCGCCCTGGGTTTGGGGGAGTAAGTGCTTTGGGAAGCTCACCTGCCCACAGGGAGCAGTGTCCCGGAACAGAACCCAGTTGTCCAGAGAGTGGGGTCCCCGGGGGGGCTTCAGAGCGCCTTGACGCCAGCACCCACTCACCCAGCCCCTGCCCTCCTGCTCTCCTGCGAGGGCGGCGGAGCCCCCGTGGCTCTGTGGGAAGGGTGGGCCCCCACCGCGGCGCCGGCAGGCTCCGTCCCAGAAAGGAAGAGGACGCTTCGCTTGCTCAGTGATTTGAGCTTGGGCTTCTGGGGGCGGGGGGTGTTTCTAGGTGGACCAAAGCACACCATCTCCTGTGTCAGCAGAAGATTCAGAAGCACCAGATCACTCAGGTGGTCCAGGAGTCCAGCGCGATGCTCCGGTCAGCCGCGTGCTTTGCGCACATTTCCTCCGACTGTTTGACACGGGTTTGCACGCGGCCGCAGAGGCTGCGGGTGGGCTGGGGACAGGCGGGGCGGGGGACCAGTTAGTGGCTGGAGAGTCAGAGGAGACCCAGACCACCAGTGTGGGAGACGGCGTGGCCTTCGGGCTCCAGCCCTTCTACCCTTGGCCGCCCCTCAGGACACGGTTTACGGGGCATGTGACTGTGACCAGGGCTGCCTTCTCGGGCCAGGCAGTGTCCAGCTCACTTGTCACTGTGGTGAAAAGACCTGAGGTCCCGGTGGTGACCACGTTCTTTGTTCAGGCATGACTGGCGCGACCTGCTGGTCAGTGACCTTCAGGGCACATCTCTGCTGCATCTTGTGTACTTCGAGGGGGGTGGGGCCAGGTGGGAGTGCCCTCACAGGGCCGGGGAGCTCTGAAGAGCCAGGTGGGCAGTGGCCTAGTCGTGCCCAGTGCCAGGGTAGTTGGCATGGGGAGCTGCTCGGGGGGCCGCCCCAGGGTCGCTGCCTGGTTGCAAACCCTGGCGGGAGGCGCCTGCGGTCCTGGACACGGTGTTGAGCAGCTGGGCACTGAGCCATCTGCTTGTCTGTCAGCACGCCGGGTAGATGAGCGCTGCGAGGTTCCGTGTGGACCCGCACGAGGGTGACAGAAAACGAAGGGCTCGACGTCTGCAGCGCCTGGGTAAATCGCACAGGCCAGCCAGATTCAGCCAGAAGCAGACGCGAGGCTGTTGGTAGGGCGCGCAAGGACCCGCAGCTCATCTCTAGCGATGTGAAGTTGAGGGCGGCGGTGGGCATTGACGGCGGGAGGAGCCTTGCTCTGGTCCGTCATCACCGGGAGGAGACGTCATGAGTTGACCTGTGCTGAGCATCCGTGCGCTTTACCCGTGTCCTGGACACAGTTTACATTCAGTGTTTCACGCCGCTGTGAAATGTTGGCGTTTTATTTTTAATATTTATTTATGCACAAAAGAGCTGGGGTGCAGGCCAGAGGTGCAGTGGGGGATGGTGGTGAGAGGATTCACCAGAGACAGGCAGATTGAGAAGTACAGGGCTGAGGGGAGCAGCGGGGAGACAGGAGGGGGCTCAGTGGCTGCCCATCGCCTCACAGTGCTGCGCACCAGGGGGCCCTCCAGGGGGCATCACCAGCTTGTCTCCCCAGCTGCAGCCACAGAGGTGCCCAGAGACTTAACCCCTTCACCACCAGGGAGGCCCCCTCTGTGAAATATTTAAAGAAAAGAGTGAAAACCACGTAACCCGAGCGAGGGGAAAGTGAGGCAACCTCAGCAGCCGTGAGGCAGCTCCCCTCCTCTTTCCCCAGGGAGGGGTACAAGACGTTCTTCAACACCCTCCACCAGAACGGCATCCCCCTCTTCATCTTCTCCGCGGGCGTCGGCGACGTCCTGGAGGAGATCATCCGGCAGAGGAAAGTCTTCCACCCCAACATCCACGTCGTGTCCAACTACATGGACTTTGACAAAGATGTGAGCCAACCTCCTTTGCGCCGGGCACGGCGAGGTCGGGCGCCAGCCCCGTGCCGCTCCCCAGACACGGCCGCCGGTGGGGCTGGGCCCTTCTCCCAGGCTGTGGTGGTCTGGCCAGCTAAAGGCGGCTCCTGGTGCAGGCCGGCGGAGGGTGGTGGGCAACTCCGGCAGCCGACCTGGTGCTCACGCGTTGGCACTCGTTGGCCGGGGTCGGCGGTGGGCGCTCCAGCTCTCCCACGTTCTGACTTCTCCCCCTCAAATCACTAGCCAAGTGTTCATCCGTGGCCCGAGCCGGCCCCTGAGAGCTCACGCACCAGTGCGAGCAGCGTGTACATCCCGGCTTCGGGCCGCCAGAGCAAGCGCTCGCCGGTGGCCGTCAGCCCAAATCGGGGTGCAGGGTCTCCCTGTCCAGGGCAGGTATATCTAGGCCCTGTGAGCTGTGTATGTGGTTTCTGGTGCAGCCCTGCTGTGCAAACCAGCGGTCATAGAAAGTCAACAGAGGGTTTGACCATGTCTCCCAGGAACCATCTACAAAAACAGACCCAAATTGAAAAAAAAAAAGGCCTGCCTGGCCCCCAGCCCGAGTTTGCCCACCGCTTTTAGACTCCAGCGAGGCCTGGCACGCCCGTGGCTTTCAGGGGTCCCTTTCCTCTTGCAGACAGTGGAGACTAGCCCCGAAGGGTGCTGAGCCCCACGTTGCTCATCTTGTATTTTCAGGGTTTCCTACAGGGATTCAGGGGCCACCTCATACATACGTACAACAAGAACTTCTCCGTGTATGAGGACTCCGGTTACTTCCAGCAGCTTCAGGGCAAAAGCAACATCCTCCTCCTGGGAGACTCCATGGGGGACCTCACGATGGCCGACGGGATTCCGGGTGTGGAGAACATCCTCAAGATTGGCTTCCTGAACGACAAGGTGGGTAGGACCGGCTTCCTCCGCGGTGGCTGGCTTCTCCTTCGGTCCCTGCTCACAGGTGCGTGTCAGGCACCTCTGTGCTCTGGGCGCCACTGAGCAAGAGAGTAGAGGGAAGACCCGCACCACAGTGCCTGGGACATTCCGTGCCCTCACAGGGAAACAGCATGCCCAGCGAAGAGACGAGGTCACGCGGGCGCAGAGGCGGGGCTCGCTGACGGGTGCTCCGGGCACTCACGGCTCATCATCAAACGGTTACACCCATGTCACAGATGGGGAAACCGAGGCCGAGAGGCCCAGTTGCCCACAGAGGCAGTCCTCAGCCTCACCCGTGGGACTACATGGAGAGGGGATTCAGAGAAGGACACAGCGCCCCGACTGGCTGGCAGGGTGTGGGGGTTGGTCTTAAAGGCGCAGTGTGGTGAGGCCGGGAGCTGCCTGCCGACTCCCTCGGCCAGCAGGTGCTGAGGTGCCTACGAGAACGTGAGCTTGTGGGACTCGTAACTGGTAAATTGGAGGTGACACCTGCTTTCTGTTTTCAGTCCTCATTATGGCCTTGGACTGCGACCCAAGGGGTTAATGGTGGCCCGCGCTCCTGGCCATGCATGCCCCCAGAGGGCAGGCCCCTGTCAGTGGGCTCCCCTTGGGGAGCTGCAGCATGGCTGCCAGCCTGCACGTGGGCGGGCACCTTGGGGACTGGCTCCCTCCCCTCCCGGCAGGTGAAAGAGAGTCGACAGCTGTACCTGGACTCCTACGACATTGTGCTGGAGAAGGACGAGACTCTGGATGTGGTCAATGAGCTGCTGCAGCACATCCTGCACCCCGGGGACCCGCTGGCGATGCAGGACTCCTGAGCCGGCTGGCCGGGCCCGCGGGGCTGCCTGCGAGGAGGGCAGGGGGCAGTGCCCGGTGAGCCCGCCCTAGGGGCTGAGCTGCGGGGCTGAGCCTCCCTCCCACCCAACCTCCCTGTGCTCCAGGGGTGGGGGCGGCCCCGGGGGGGCAGCATGCCTGCCCCTGGCGAGCAGACCTGGGTGCTGGCACGCCAGCAGTTGTCCAGCTCAGAGGGGTCTTTTTTGGTAAATTTTAAACATGGACTGGAAAGGTGTTACACCAAATTCAGTGTGATGCAGACAAAATAATTGGACTCAGGAGGGTGTGTAGGATGCAGGAACCTCCAGGGAGCCGCTAGGGCCGGGGGAGACCCTGGAGCAGAGCCTGGATGCGGTGGGCAGGTAGAGCTGTTGGGGGGCAGGGCTTCCCCAGCAACTCTGCAGACAGGTCTGCGGACTCCACACACCAGCCCCCAGCACCGAGTACAAACCCCATCATCACCAAGGGAGGGTTGGGGGGCTGAGGGTGCATTCAGCAGCCTTGTTGGATATAAAACCCGACATGGGGGCCTTGGGGGGTCTCTTGGCTGGTGGCTTGTTTCTTGCCTCTTCACTGAATCTCAGTGTGCTCTTGGGGTCCAGGTCAGCGGAACTGGTAGGACCCCTAATCAGCTTGTCTTTCTTTCCCTGAGTTACTCATTTCCCTGTCTTTTATAAATAAACCCATTATTAACCTTTTTTGTGCCTGCAGTTGAATCTTACTTCGTCCCTTTAAGTGCACTGGTGAGGACCCACAGGCAGAACCCTGTCCACATTGGGGTTACCCAGTACAGTGCTGGGGTGCTTTGATGATTCCCATGCAGGAGTTGAAATTAAGTTGGGATCAGTGAGGTTTGGCCAACCCTGTCAGCAGGGAACCCCCCTCCCCCCCCAGTGAGATGGAGGGGTCCAGTGCTCTGTGGCTTTGCGTTACTGGGCTTCAGTTTCTTTCCCGTCTGCTCCCACTGCTGACTTGGATGGTCGGGAAGGAGCTGATTCTCTCTAGGGCACCTTATTTTTGAAAAGGTTAATTTATTTCTGTATACAAGAACTGGGGCACAGGCCAGAGGATGCACCAGAGACAGTGGGGAGCAGAACAGGAAGGTCTACTAAAACAGCTGCTGAGAGGGGCAGCCAGTGGTGAACAGGAGATGTCTGCTAGGCCACGTGGGTGAGCTCCCTGGCCTGATAGATCTCGTGTTGCAGTGGCCACCAATAGCTTCACAGTGCTCGCTTTAACCCCTTGCACCACCAGGGAGACCTCTAGGGCACCTTTTGAAGAAAAAATGTAGACCGGTTCAACTGGCATTTTCTTAGCCTGCCCTCCAGGGAAGTTCCTCCCCCACCCTCCTGGGAGGGCGCCCACTGCTGGAAGTCCTGTGGCTACAGATCTGCAGGGAAGGGGTGCTGTCTGCTACTGCCGAGCCCCCGGTGACCCCATTGGGCACAGTTCCCATTTACCTGTGACCAAGAGTGAGGAGCCTCAAGCCCATAGCTACCATAGCTAAGAGCTCCTAGCTGACCCTCTGCCTCTAGATTTGGGGCTGAGGTGGTCATCTCCAAGACTGGGTCAGTAGCCAGCCTGAAACTGAGGTATACCTGTGGGTGCTTTGGCCAGCGCCTGTAGGAGCAGCCTCACCAGCTGTGGGGACCTGGGCAAGAAGCCTGTGGCTCTTCAGCCTGAGTCCCACCTAAGGACCCCCCAACCTCGATGGCTTTGGGTCATCTCTGTCCACTGGCCAGAGTCTAGCAGATGAGGGTAGTCGTCCCCCAAGACATGGCAACCTTGAACCTACTCTCTCCCTCAGGTAAAGGGAGAAGGGCTGGGCAGGGGTGATGGCTGGCAGCCAGGGGCAGGGGCAGTGGGAATATTGTAGTTTAGAAAGTAGAATCCTGCCCTCCCTAGTGGTGTGGGAGTTAAGTCACTGCGCTACCCAGCTACTGTAGCTTTGGCCAGGGAGCGACCCACATGGCGCGGCAGACCTCTCCTGACCCGCCTGCTGCTCCCCTCAGCAGTGGATTTCAGTACATCTGTTCTCCCATTCTGGTGAACCCACTCACCTGCCTCTCTCCCCCACAACTCTGGCATACGCCCCAGTTCTTGGATGCATGAAATCCAGCCTGTGTGATTTTGTTTAACCCTTGAACTTTATTGTTTTAAGGTCAGGGGCTTTTGTCTTTCCATCCAGCTGGGACAGGAGAAAAGACTCACCCCTCCCAGCCTATAGGGGTTCCCTCTCCAGGGTGAGGCCCCCACTTGGCCTCAGGAGTCAGGGACCTCCAGAAGAAGGGGCCCGGCCTTAGGGCCCAGCCGCCAGATCCCACAGGCCCTGGGAACAGCACACTTTGCCTCTTTCTCCCCCAGTCTGCATCTGCGGGTCCCCTCCAACCCCCACCAAAAGACTGTACCCTGAGGACTCTGGTTTAGCCTTTTATTTGGCACAAAGGAGAAAGGGACCTGACACCAGTTCAGGGCTCTGCACCCGCTCTTCCCTTGGCCCCCCGAAAGCCCCTCTCCCAGCCCACCCCAGCCTGGAACCAGGGGCTCAGCAGCCCAGACCCAGCGGTAGGCTCACACACTCCCAGTTCTTCCTCTGCTCAGCCCTTGGGAAAGCAGCCTTCTGAGGAAGAGGCCCCCAGGTCGCCTCGGTGGGGGGGATGGGCTAGGTGAGGGGGGCTGCCCCCCTTTTAAGAGCCAGCCAGAGCTGAGGAAGACATGAAGGGGGATCCGACCAGCCTGGCTTTCGTTCTTGGGGGTTGGTCCTTGGCAGGACATGGGGGCTGGAGATGGAGGGTGCTGAATGAGGAGAACATTTAAAATAAAGGGGAAGTCGAGGGGGGTAGAGAAATGAGGGGGTTGGCCTCGCTCAGTGTAGTGAGGAAGAGGGGAGGTGGGGGCGGGGCCCAACCATGGTCCCATTCAACCCCCAGTTCCGCAGTGCCCAGACAGGCGACTCCGGCAAGCGGAAGGGGTTTCAGGGGAGAAGAGACAGGGCTCGCTGTGCGCTCTCCTCCAGGGCAGGTGGGAGGGCCAGCTAGCTCCTGACCACTGGCTCCGCCCCTTGGCGTGTCCCAGCGGAGCGGAGGGTGACTGTAAGGTCCCAGGCCCCGCCCCAGGCCCCGCCCTCAGAGTTCCTCGTGGACGCGCTCCTGGTCTTCATCGGACTTCAGCTTGAGCTCCTCCACCGTGATCTTGCCGTCGTGGTTGCGGTCCTGGTTCTGGAACATGTCCCCGATGGTTTTCTCCGGGTCCTGCCCAGGCATGAGGCGTCCTTTGCCCTCACTGACTTGAGCCTTGATGAAGGTAGAGAACTGGAGGCCCAGAGAGGGGGTCAGTCTGGGCAGCGGAGGGGTGGCAGCCTTGGGAAGGGGGGGGCAGAGGCCGCCCACTCCCGCCCGAGGGGACCCAGCTCAGGGAGCAGGAAGGAGGGTGTGTGGGCAGCAGGGGAATGGGCTGGCAGCAAAGGGAACCCAAGCACAGGAGGGCGCAGGGCAGGACCCCACACAGGGAGCCGGACACACCCGCAAATGTGGCCATGCCCTGGGGTTATTGCAAGGACTGAGTCCCCCACCCACCTCCTCTGGGGGGACCTCGCCGTCCTTGTTGAGGTCCAGGCCTTCAAACAGGTTTGCAGGAGGGTCCTCGTGCCACACAAACAGGTAGCCGGCGGGCAGCCCCTCCTCCCGGGACACCAGCTCCACCTCAAACAGCAGCACTGCGCTACCAGGGACCCCCCGGGCTGGAGGGAGGGGGAAGGAAGGAGCCCCTCTTAGGCCAGCTCTGGGTCTGGCCTGCGGCCTTCCCCGGGAGCTCCCCAGCCCACCGCCCTGGTGTCCTGGAGAGTGGGGCCTGGGATCTTTCCAGAACGCCTGAAGCTTCCCTGGCTCCTCTCCTCAGCCATCTGGGCCTCAAGTGGGCAGGGGCAGGGGCCAGAGCACCCCCAGGCCTCAGTCGCCCTCACCTCCACTCTCCCCGTGTGCCAGGTGCGGGGGGATGATGAGCTGGCGCCGTTCTCCCACACACATGCCCTGAAGGCCTGTGTCCAGGCCTTCGATCACTTTATTGGCCCCAAGAGTCGCCTCCTGGGGGCTCCCATAGTCGTGGCTGGGGGGAACAGATTCTGACGTTACCAATGGTCCTGCCTTCCCAACTTGCCTTCCTCCACTCTACCCCACCCGCTCCTGCCCTGGCCCCAGGGCCCAGCGCAAGGCTCGGTCAGTTGGGAGTCACTCCCAGCGACCACCCACACCGCAGAGTGGGGGCCCGCGGGGACGCCCTGCTCCCTGCATGGTGCGGCCCGGCCTGGGCTCATCTCCCAGACCTGATGGAAATGGCAGCTCCTCCCACTGCCAGCTTCGCCTCCCCCTGCCACCGGTCAGTAAGGCAATTCAGGGCCTCACGCGCCTGCCCCTTAGGTAGGAACTTAAGTCAGGGTGCGGTCAGCAAGCCTGCGGTGCCCGGCCCACCCACCTGCCCAGCCCTGGCCCTGCCCCCGACCCACGAGGAGAAGAGCCTGGTGCCGTCGAGCAGAGAGCAGTTGTAGTGGTATCGAACGAAGTCCCCGGTCCTGGCCGTCTCAGTGCAGGTCTCGGGGGGCTGGGCCAGCGTCTTGACTTCCACCGGATCCACAGGGTTGTGGAAGTCGATGACGTGGACGTCGAAGATCAGCACGGCAGAGCCAGGGATCTTGTCTCCTGGGGCCAAGTGGGGTTCAGAGCAGCTCAGAGTCTGGGGCGGCTGTCTGGGGGGCCCTGGGCTGGACCCCCAGCCTGCGCACCCCCAGCCTGCAAGCCCCGACGCCTTCCTGTTGTGATGCGGGGCCCTCAGAAGCACGGGCCTTGCAACTTCCCCACCGGCCTGTCACTCGGTTGCCCTTAGGTCCATTTCACAGGTGAGGACACTGAGGCTTCCAGCACAAATGGGTCTTTCTGTTTCCTGGGGTTATGCTCTTCCTGCTCCTCCAGAAGCACCCCCGCCCAACCTCAAGAGGGCTGCCTGTCTCCAGCATGGAAGGGGAGGAGTGGGGGTGGGCAGAGAAAATGGCATCCGTGGGAGGAGCAAGGGGGTGGCCCGCTTAGTGATGAGAGGTTGGGGCAGGGGGTGGACACCGCCGTGCAGGTCCGGAAACTGGGCGGTGGCTCAGACCCAGGGACAAGCCTACCGGTCCCGTTCTCCCCGTAAGCGAGGTGTGGGGGGACGGTGATCCTCCTGCGCTCGCCCATGCACGCGCCCTGCAGCCCCTGGTCCATCCCAGGGATGACGTAGCCCTGCCCCACATAGGTGTTGTAGGTGTGGTTGCGGGAGTAGCTGCAATGGGACAGGAGGACCAGCAGCGTCAAAGGAGCCCCCGGCCCTCCGGGCAGCTCGGCCCACCCCGCCCCACCGGCCCCCGCCCGCCACCCTCAGGACCCCTGACCTGGAGTCAAAGAGGGTGCCGTCCATCAGCGAGCCATTGTAGTGGTACCGCATGAAGTCCCCGGCCACGGCTCTGCGGACACAGCCAGGCGGCAGCTCCAGTGTCTCCAGCTGGACAGTGTCCTTGGGGTTGTGGACGTCGATCAGTAGGACGTGGAAGACCAGGGAGGCCTGTGGGGGGATCACAGTCCCTGGGGACGGGACAGGCTTGAACCATCCAAGTGGAGACCCCCAGGCCCCTCTTGCCCCCGAGGCCTCGTGAGCCCTAAGCAGAAAGCCCACTCTGGAGACGCCCCCCGCCACCGTCTGCCCTCACCATAGCCCTTCTCGCCATAGGCCAGGAATGGAGGGATGATGATCTTCCTTCGCTCCCCAGGACACATGCCCAGCAGCCCCTGATCCATGCCCTTGATGAGCCAGCCAGAGCCAACGTAGGTATCGTAAGTGCCGCCCCTACTGTAGCTGGAGGACGAGGCAGAGCTGATACTGCCGGCCGAGGCCGTGGCCCCTGGCCCCTGCCACCACCTCCACGCCTCAGGGCGCCTCACCTGGCGTCAAAGGCAGTGCCGTCCAGCAGCGTGCCATTGTAGTGGTAGCGGACAAAGTCGCTGTCCTGGACCGTGCGGGGGCAGTGGGGCGGGCGCAGCAAGGTGCTCACCTGCACGGTGTCCGCCTTGTTCCACACGTCCAGCAAGACCACATCGAAGTGGAGGGTGGCGTCCGGGGGGATGAGTCCCGCTGTGGGGCAGGGCCGGCCCCAGGTGGGGTGGGGCGGGGGCCTGAGAGTCCTGGCTTGCCCCTCCGCCCCCTGTGTTCCCTTTCTTGCTAGTGAAGCCCCCATCCCACCCGGGCTCCTGCTGTTCCCCAGCTTCCCCTCTCAGGGGCAGGCAGAGACGAGAGGACAGGCCTCCGCGGTTCGGATCGTAGGGGCAGCGCCACCCTGGGGACATTCTGCCCCTTCCTGGGCTCCCGGCCTCCCGGCCCCCCCGGCCTCGGGCCTGCGTCCAGCCCTTCTCACCCACGCCGATGCTGCCGTAGCCCAGGTGGGGCGGCACGATGAGGCGTCGCCGCTCGTTGACACACATGCCCATGAGGCCTCGGTCCATGCCGGTGATGAGACGCCCCACACCCACCACGATGGCCACCAAGCTGCTGCGGTCATAGCTGGGGCAGGGAGGGCACAGTGGGATACAGTGGCCTCTGCCCAAGACCAAAGTGCTTGCAAACGCACACACAACCTCCCTCTCCCCCCCCCAACACACACACACACACACACGTAGGCACCCGGCCCCTCAGCAGCATCCCTCTGGGCCCCCCTCGGAGCCGGCTTAATAGGACTTAATAGGGAAGTCCCAGAAGAC